CTCAATTTCTTCAGTTCCTACCCTTGATCTCTCAATTCCTCCCATTTCTCCCGTTTTAGTCAATCCCTCCCCATTTCTTCCTCTTGGACTCCCCAGTTCCTCCCCTCTTTACCAGTTTCCAGTTTCTTTACCCCTTGAACCCCCAGTTTCTCCCCTAATCATACAAGTAGATCCCTGGTCCGCAAAAATATATCATTAACACTTTTGATCTTATAAAAACAGCAGAGCAATTTCAATAAATGCCATTTGCTGCACAAGTTGATATGCATATGATAATGCTTGAGCGTATTACTGATCAATGAACAATTATTAGCCCCTATTACAGACGGCAATACGGCCTTCTCTCCTAATTATGAATTCATGTATGCATTTTAAATTTGCTAGCGATGATTGTGACTCGTGGGATATACGCTTTCACGCCCCCCCCCCCCCGGCCACACCTACGCACTAATGTACAACGGAGACCATAAAATTCGTTATAGAAGCGCTGGCATGAAATCGTTTTTTAGGAACACTGGAAGGGAATTGGGGGAGGGGCAGGGGGAGTGGGGGGGTAGAGGGGAGGAGGGCGTGCTAATTTACTATGATAATATATGCTTTTAATGATTTCCTTGTTGGCAACCTTTCTCTTTGGAAGAGTTGATGCATTTTTTTTTTTTTTTTACAAATTTCATTTGTTTCCAGTGTTTATATTCCTGTTCGATTACCGGAATGCTTAATGCACTGTATGCGTATGAAGTTCAACATGAGAAATTAGAGACTTCCTTTTATCGCCAGTTATGGAATTATAAATTCTCTTTCTTGTCAGATTTTTATTCACATTTTCCATCTCTCTTTTCCAGCAAGCTTTACTAAAACTATAGCAAATACTAAAGCTCTCTATTGACTCCCATTTAGAAAATTTACTACGAAGCTCACTTTTACAAATGCCAAACCTTTGGAATGACTCTATTTATGTCGAGAGGAAATTCAGAACGAAACCAATAATGATAAAAAAAAGTTAATTAACTAATCTATAAAGATGAAATAAGTATGGAAATGGAATGATCGCCTATTCTCATAATCGTCAGGTTAACTTTTGGATAGTTTGTTCAACATTCGTTTCATGAACAATATGGCGTCTTATTATTTTTTGGGGAGATTTTTCCCCCGTTTTAATATGCTTATGGGTTGGTTTTCGTGTTTTGCCAGGCGATGATTGACAAGCAGGGATGGAAATTAATATGTGAATATGTACATGATGTAAGGGATCCAGTAGATTTTGTCAGGTGATCTGGATTCACATTCGGAATTGAGATGAAATTTGTAGATTCAATGGCAGTTTGATCCATCATAGAAAGTGGGTCCACTAGGAAATCGCTCTTCTTTTGAAATGCAGCAAACTTTTTTTTCTATTTCGCGTCACTTCCAGCGAATGCTTTCTATTGAAAACAAGAGATAAACATGATTGACATTTAATGATTATGCTTTTGTTTTCCCGATTTTCTGTTTTTTTTTATTGAGATCAGACACATACAAACACAAACACACATCCGACCACACAGTGATCTCCCTCAGACACATCTGATAATCGAAGACAAAAAAAAAAAAGAAGAAAAAAAAAAATAAGTGTCAAAGCAAAGAGACGATAAGAACCCGTCATTAACTAATCTTTGTTCCCCAACAGCTCTCCCACTTTTCCTTTCGCTCTCTCCCCATCTCTTATCTCTTCCCTTCCATCTCTCTTTTCTTCCATTTCCCGCTTCCTCTCTGCTACGTGAAATATTGCGTTATACGAAATATTAATTGTAACACTTATATCTTTATATACGACGTGCGAGATCATAAAAAGATGTCTCTAATGATGACGATGCTAATTACTTAAGATAGTACGAGAAAAAGCAATGTAATGATTAAGATAATCATTATCTCCACCGAAAAGATTTGGTTATGTTCTAACCTGCGTTAAATACCTATGGATTAATTGGTTATGATCTGACTTGCATTGATTACTCTCTGGTTGATTGGTTTGTTATCTGGATTACACATAAAGTTACTAATGACTCGCAATAGAGCTTCATAGTTGGGCTGCCAAACGTGGATCAGTGTCCTTGTACGAAGAAACTACAAATAAATCACAAATTGCATGTTTCAATACTGTTTTGTGAACTCTACTGGCTTTGTATTTCATATTTATATTCCCTTTTTCTATCATTAATCATGTATTTCATATTCAGATATATTGATTCTTATTACTATCAC